AATCCTGAGCGCAGCAGCTCTAGTTGAACTGGGAAGTTGCCACATTTAAATGGGTCGACTTCCGGGTCATTTGAGAGCTTTCTAATTGGTGGATAGACCAGAAAAGAGGTGTGGTTTGTGATGTAAGGTGTTATCAAAGTCAAGGACAGAGATTAAGTTTGTTTAAAACAGACAGAAAGATTATTGGAGAAAACCAGACTTCGTGGAGTCAAACTCTCCTGTATCTTCTGTAAAAGTTAAACATGACATTTCTTTTTCAGTAAACTTTTAGTTGACCGAAACTTGAACCTTAACACACTTACAAAACTTGCTCATTGAAGACAGAAAAATCAAGAAATGCATATTAACCTGATTTCTTCTTAGAATGAGGAATAAAAATCATTACTTACTGTTTATGTAAATAAAAATGAGTAGTTCTCTTCAACCTGTAAACATTGAGTGAACTAACACAATTTGATTATCAAACATTTGTAAAATAGTAATGATCATAGAGAATTGTCTTTTCTACTTGATTAATTCAAGAAAGAAAGTCTCCAGATGGGTCAAACTGTATTTCTGGATGCAGATCAATGAAATAACAGTTTCTGTCCATCTGGTCAGATTTGACATCAGATCAAGTTCACTACAAATATTGCTCCCCATATGTGAAGTAGGTTGACTGCAGGCACAGTTTCAAGAGTTGACACAGTTGTTCTGTGGAAAGCGTGGTCCTGCTGCTCAGAGTGGTGTCTGATTTTAATCTTAAACTGACCACCTCTACTGCATCATCAACAGGAATGCACGTAAAGAGTGATGTGACATCAAAAGAGACCATTGTTTCATCAGTCTCCATGATGACATCCCTCACCTTATCCACAAAGTCCATGGTGTTCTGTATGTGGTGTTCTGAGCTGCCAACTAAAGGGATGAGTACAGGCGCCAGATATTTGGAAACATTGTAAGTGACAGAGTTAATCATGCTAACAATTGGTCTTAAAGGTACACCTTGTTTGTAGATTTTAGGTAAACCATACAGACTAGGTGTGGCCTCCCCTGGGTACAGTCTGTGGTACAGAATACGGTCAATAGCCTTGTCCTGCTCCAAATTTTTCAGGCAATCTATTAACTTCTTCTTGTAACCACTTACTGGATCTCTTTTCAGAGGTTCATAAGTGTTTAAGTCACTAAGGAGTGTCATAACTTTCTCATGATAGTCTTTCTGGTTCAAAATCACTGTGCACCTTCCTTTGTCTGCTGGGAGAATGATGATGTTTTTGTCCTTGCTAAGAGTGGTGAGTGCATCCCTCTCCTCTCTACTGATGTTGGAAGGTGGTTGTTTGGCATTGCTGAGGCAGGATGAAACTTTGATTCTGAGCTGATCTGCTTCACCCTCTTTCATTTTGTTGTTGCGGATGGCTGATTCTGTGGCTGTGATCATCTCCACCAAAGGAATTCTACTTGGTGCAACCGCAAAGTTCAGACCCCTGGCAAAAATCTCTGTCTCCGGCTGGGTGAGCTGTCTGTCAGATAAATTCTTCACCCACTTTTCTGTCTCCCTGGCATGTAATTGACTACTGGAGTGTTGTCCTACACTGAATGTGTTGTTATTGGAATAGTGATGGTGTTGATGAGTTATTAGTAAGTTAAACTTATTTTGTTGTCGAGTCTTGGACTTGACATGCTGTGCTAAGTGTGCCTGATCTGTACAGTCCAACACTTGCTGAAGTGTGGTCTGATCTAGACACATAGTTAGTTTATGTTTAATGTACTCTTCTTTGGCCTTCAAGGCCTCAATAGTAAAATTGGTCTGTCTCACCCGTTCATTCAGCAGCTGGGTCTGTGCCTTCTGAAGGATCTTGCTTGCCCGGTGCCCGCTGACCGATGATTTTAGTTCCAGGCTCTTGGGAATGATGCCACTTTGTCGACATCTGAGGTTGAATCGCAAGTGGTTCCTATAGTCTGCCCTCTTCCTTGCTGTTTTCTCAAACTCTCTTACTAGTTTGAGGCAATCCTGGCCAAAGTGATTCAAAATATCCTGATGCATGCTCAATAATCCAGGTAGAAAAATCCAAAAAAAGTTCAATCTGGTCCTCTGGACATTCAAAAAAAACAAAAATACAAAACAAAGCAAAAAAATATAGAAACGTTTCGTCTCTCATCCAAGAGACTTCCTCAGTCTGAGGTGCTGTTTTCAGCTCATTCTCTTAAATAGCACCTTCTCAGAGTGGATCAACCAGTTTGCTGCTGACAACCAAAACCAGCTGCTCACATGCTCAAGAAGGACCATCAGCCTAACAATGGACTCCGGGTTCAACTGTCCCCCTCTTACAATGCTGTGATTGCTAGTATCACTCAGCCCTCTGTGAACAGTAAACAGCCATCAATGTGCTAATGATCCATTGTTAGGCTGATGGTCCTTCTTGAGCATGTGATCAGCTGGTTTTGGTTGTCAGCAGCAAACTGGTTGATCCACTCTGAGAAGGTGCTATTTAAGAGACTGAGCTGAAAACAGCACCTCAGACTGATGAAGTCTCTTGGATGAGAGACGAAACGTTTCTAGATTTTTTTGCTTTGTTTTTTTTTTTTTTTTTTTTTTAATGTCCAGAGGACTAGATTGAACTTTTTTGGATTTTTCTACCTGGATTATTGAGCATGCATCTGGATATACTTATTTTAGGTTTAGAAATTTAAAGAACAGAGTTGATGCTGCTCACATAGTATCTGCACTGGGGCTTATTACTCAGAAACTGATAAATTACAGTAGATCAATTTCAAAATGCCTTTCCGATTTGTTCCCTGGGTGTTTGGGGCTCAAAAAGCTATGTGTTCATGTTGGCTCGTCTTCCATGAGATCGATTCAGTGTTTTATGAGAAGACTCAGAAGACTCTTATGGACAGTAAAAAATAAGGAGCTCTGTGTCCATTGCCTGGACGTCGGTTACTGGGGCCCCACCCTGGAGCCAGGCTTGGAGGAGGGGCTCGTCGGCAAGCGCCTGGTGACCGGGTCTCTACCCATAGAGTCCGGTTGGTTCGGATGGGTTTGCTTTCCTGTGATCCCACCACCTGCAGGAGGGGCCAAATGAGTTGGGGTAATGATGCCATGGGCAGTGGCCCAAGGCAGTGGCCCAAGACAGGGGCCCATGGCAGTGGCCAAAGGCAGGGGCCTTGGCGCTCTGACCCCGGCTTACCACAGCTGGCTCTTGGGACATGGAATGTAACCTCTCTGGCAGGGAAGGAGCCTGAGCTTGTGCGAGAGGTTGAAAGGTACTGATAAGATATAGTTGGGCTCATCTTGACGCACAGCATGGTCTCTGGAACCAATCTCCTTGAGAGGGGCTGGACTTTATTCCACTCTGGAGTTGCCCATGGTGAGAGGCACCAAGCAGGTGTAGGTCTACTTTTAACCCCCAGACTTGGTGCCTGTGTGTTGAACTTTTCCCCGGTAGATGAAAGGGTAACTTTCCTGTGCCTTCAGGTGGGAGGACGGGTTCTAACTGTTGTTTGTGCCTACGTGACAAACAGCAGTCCAGAGTATCTGGCTTTCTTGGAGTCCTTGGCAGGGGTGATGGAAGGTGCACCAGCTTGGGACTCCTTCATTCTGCTGGGGGACTTCAATACCCACATGGGTAATGACAGTGTGACCTGGAGGGGTGTGATTGAGAGGAATGGCCTCTCTGATCTGAACTTGAGCAGTGTTCTGTTGTTGGACCTCTGTGCTAGTCATAGTTTATCCATCACTAACACCATGTTTGAACATCATCATGGTGTCCATAAGTGCACTTGGCACCAGGAGATCCTAGATCATAGATTGCTGATTGATTTTGTAGTTGTGTCATCTGATTTGTGGCTGTTTGTTTCGGACACTCAGGTGCAGAGTGGAGCTGAGCTGTCAATTGATCACCATCTGATAGTGAGTTGGATCAGGTGGCAGGGGAAGAAGCCAAACAGATATAGTAGACCTAAACATTAGAGATGTACCAATCTGATATAAATATTGACATCGATACTGATATGGACAAACTTCTGAATCGAGTATCAGTGACAATGTAACTGATCCATAACTGGGCAAATCTATTCACTCTAATTCTATGCTTTGCACTCTGAGTGACATCACGCACTAGCGTACTGACTGAACAAATTAAAGTTGTGCTGTTTTTACATGTTTAACCAAGCTTGTGAAGCTCTTGGTGTGTTTAATGTGCTGTTATGGTGCAGAGTTTTCAATACATTTGTAATTCAGTACATTCATGTCTGCGTTTAACAAAACAAAGGTTTTAAGTTAATTCAGCACTTGTAAGCTCAAACATCCAGGTAGAAAACAAAAATGGCTAATTCGTGTCATCTGGTTTCAGAAACGGGTCCAGATTACATGATTTACATGGAGAGTGGTGGAGCAGAGGTTAGAGAAGGTGGGCCTGTGATTGGAAGATCGCCGGTTCAAGCCCCAGTACCGACAACATCAAAAATGTGGGTGGGGTAGGTGAAGCCCCCACACCTGCCCCCACCCTCATTCGCCCCACTCTGGGCCCATGAGCAAGGCCCTCAACCCCAGAAGTACTGGAAGAGGAGGCTCTGCTGTGGCTCCTCAGACTGAAGAAGTCTTTTGAATAAAAGATGAAACTGGACAGATTATTCTTGTTGGATATCCTGATGCATGCTCAATAATCCAGGTAGAAAAATCCAAAAAAGTTCAATCTGGTCCTCTGGACATTCAAAAAAACAAAACAAAGCAAGAAAAAATATTATTTTATATTTTTTCTTGCTTTGTTTTGTTTTTTTGAATGTCCAGAGGACCAGATTGAACTTTTTTGGATTCTTGTTGGATGTTTTGTCAGGGCCTGACTTAACTTTGTTAGAAAAATTCAGAAACCTCAGAAAGGATTTTTCTGATATTGTGACCAACCTTATCCTTTGTTGTAATATACACACAATTTTTTTTTATTCTCCTTAATTTATAGTCTTTAAACCTTCCAGGTAGAGCGTTAAGCATTAAAACCAGTGACAGAACTGAAACTTCTTACCTTCTCTTATAGCAGTGAAGGGTGTGCCCTCCTCCTCCTGCAGACGGATCACTTTCAGAGCCACCAGCTTTCCATTCACCCTAATGACAAGAACAAAGAAAAAAGTGTAGTGATGCAGTTAGTGTTTTTGTGATGCAAAAATCTATCAAATCCAGTGAAGGCAATGAAATGTAATTTAGCAGCAGTGGAGTGAGTCGTGACTACAACAGCAATGAATGAAGCTCACTAATCAAAGCTGTACGAGCCAAGAAAAATAACATCATCACTAAGAAGATTAGAGTCTGCAGAGGTTTGTACAAGCATTGTGTGAAAACTTTACATTTCACAGAATTTACCGAAGAAAACCTGGGACAAAAGCAGCAAAGCATTAAACATGGAGATTGCATATAAACATCCTTCCCACAGAAATTAAAAAAACTAAGAAGCAGCATTATGTGTGTATGTGTATGTGTGTGTGTGTGTGTGTGTGTGTGTGTGTGTGTGTGCGTGCGTGTGTGTGGGGGGTGGGGTGGGGGGGGTTCAGCATTATGGACAGGAGAACAGTGTTACAGAAAATAGCTGGTGGATTGATTATTTTATTCAATATCCTGATGCATGCTCAATTATCCAAGTAGAAAAATCTAAAAAAGTTAAGTCAGGGCCTCTGGACTTTCAAAAAAAAAAAAAAAAGTAGAAACGTTTCGTCTTTTATCTGAAAGACTTCTTCAGTCTGCACTGAAGAAGTCTTTCGGATGAAAGACGGAACGTTTCTACATTTTTTTTCGTTTGTTTGTTTTTGGTTTATTTGGTTTGTTTTTTGAACGTCCAGAGGACCTGACTTAACTTTTTTAAATATTTCATTCAATCAACAGCAGCTCTGCTCATTAACATCAACAAAAATGTATCATCCACAATGAAAATAAATAGAGATGCACTGATCCACTTTTTCCACTTCCGATACCAATATCTGATGTTTAGAATCGGCCGATACCGATCTGATACAGAAAAACAGAGCTGAATTCCATTGAACAAACTCAGCGTGCTCTTGAAATCTCTGGAGATGCTTGATTAAGTTGGTAGTGTTATAGCTGGAAGTTTTAGTGACATCCCCTGGAACCGTCGCTGTGCACGTATTGCACATAGCTGTCGAATGTGTTGGCTGAGGTAATGTGAAATAGTTCCAGATGGCTGATCCTTTTGCTCGTTCCATTTTGAAAACAATCTGTGCGTTGAGTTTGCTAGCGCGTGACGCCACTCAGAGCACAAAGAATAGAATTAGAGTGAATAGATCTGCCCAGTCATGGATCTGTGACATTGTCACTGATACCCGATCCAGAAGTTTTTTTTCGATATCGGGACCGATACTAATATTGGTCTTGGATCGGTGCATCTGTAAAAATAAACTAGAAGCATACTGTAGATTCATGGGAAGAAATGCAGATTATCTGGCATTGTTCATGCCAGAATTTTACAATCAAAACCATCTTATGTTGAGAAACAATAGCTGAAAGGCTATTATGTTCAAACCTTAAAAAAAACTTGTTAAGCTTAATTTCATGCAAATCACAAAATGTTCAGCTCAGAGTATGTGTTGTGAAGGAGTTTCCGCTACATCACAATTTAAATCTACATTATTTTGAAATAGGTAAAATAAATCCCTTCTTGATTAAAGCAGATACACTGTGGTAGTCATATATGACTGTGTCAATATACTGAATATTCAATATATTGAACTGATGTAACTCCACAAGTTAATGTTAGTTTGTAAGATATCCATTCAGTGATTATATTGTGAAAGTTTCTTTAAAATTTGTGTCATATTTTGCTAACAGACAAACAGGGCTGACTCCAATGTGCAATGCTTAAGTTTTATACAAGGACCTTGTGCAATAAGTATGTGTTGTGAATAAGCCTCAGCTAAAACCAGACCAAATTTTAACAAAACAACAGCAGAACTGATGTCTGAAGACAGATAAATGGACAAAAAGACAGGAGACAGAACTGGAAGTGACAGACATGAAGATGTTCTCCTTAGGATTGACAAGGATGGATAAGATTAGGAATGAGATCATCAGAGGTACAGCACAGGTTGAAGAACTAGGAGATAAAGTTAGAGAGGACACACTGAGATGGATTGGACATGTCCAGAGGGGGGGTAGTGGTTTGGACATGTACAGAGGAGGGACAGTGGGTATATTGGTAGAAGGATGTTAGAAATGCAGCTGCCAGGAAAAAGACAAAGAGGAGACATATGGATGCAGTTAGAGAGGACATGGAGGTAATGAGACAGAGGACACAGACGACAGAGATGGAGAAGGATGACTCGCTGTGGAGACCCCAGAAGAGGGAAAAGCTGAAAGAAGAACAAGAACAAAAAGAAAGAAAGAAGAAGAAAAGACGAAAAAAAAGTCAGATTGTATTGGTTTGGCTCCAAAAGATAATTTGTTCTATATGTACATCCATTCTTCTATCCACCTGTTTATGTTGTGAGGTCTTTTTTTCATCTTTCACACTGTGCCCTGGCCAGAACATGCTGTGAGACATTATTTGTTTTTACTTCCTCCACCCTCGTGTTCTCTTTTCCTCATCTACTCCGTAAGTTGTATGTAACAGGTGTCTCTTGTAAATGAGTTTCTGAGGCTCAATGGGAACTAACCTGTATAAATAAAGGTTGAATATGTATATCCAGTGATCACTTCCTGCAAGTTTTATGAAACTCCATCCGGTGGTTCACGAGATGTGTTGGTAACTAACATTCTCATCTGCCCATGCCTGTCAGCAGCAGGCGATGATTAGACTCAACGTGCACTTACTTGCTCTTTCCTTTGTAAACTGTCGCATATGAACCTTCTCCCAGCTTTTCAAGCTTTTCATATGAATCTGCCTTTCCAAACTTGGGGCTTGTGGGCTGAAAGATATAAAAAGGTAAAATATAAGAATGAATAAGTCAAGAAGGCAGAGAAGCAAAGCCTTGGAGGATTTTCCAAAAACCATTACACGTCTAAGTTATTAAAATGGGAATCAGCAGAAGTGTTATGTCTGTGGAGAGGAAGAGTATTTTTATGTAACTGTCAGCTCACAAAGTCCAGATACCTTTTTATTGATTACTTTTTTAAGAACAGCAGCTCAGAGGAAACAAGACATGTAGATGAACAGGTTCATCATCACTAGACATCCAAAGGAAAACTTCAACAAATGGGTCATTGTCTCAACAGCACCCGCATTATACCAGGGCATTATTTGAAATATTAGCGTTTAAAAAGGTCACAAAACATTGCACTGTGTAACGTCTGAACTGGTGTTTTTATTTCATTAACAGTTAGTAGACAATGACAGCACAAGTTTGATGACCTTTAGAGATTTTTCCTCTGAATGTTCATCTTAGAGTGATAACACACGAACATCCAGCTGTCTAATGTTCCTAAATATTGGCTAATCTTTCATTAGACCTCTTTTAAAGTTTATAATTCCAGGTTTCTCCAGAGTCAGTTTGTTTGAGACTCAATGTTCTGTCTGCCTGTCTGATGAAGAAAGTTTCTGCTCCTTCTCCTCCGTCCGCTGAAGACAAACCATTGGCTCTTACATACTTCAGGGGGTCTTAGTTATTTGATTCCATCATGGCTGCCGTGACAATTCTAGTATATGGGAAATTTTTCTCCGGATTAGAACGTCCAGGTTATAGAGAATAGTGTCTAAACTCCTACAAAGTGTAAAATTAAAAGTTTAAAAACCATAAACAGCAAACAGGAAGCACTTTTAATTTAGAGTAAAAAAACAACAATGTTCAAAATAAGAGTCTAAATCTGTCATAATGCCAAATTCTTACTGAGCTTTCTAGAAAAAAGTTGTTGGAATTTTCAACAGCAGCTCATTGGTACCCCACAACATTTGTTTAGAAATTTTAGTTTTGAGTTACGCTCCATGTTTGCCACAATCCAAAATAATGTTGGTTGTAAGGACTAAGTTTTGCTGCTGGACTCTGAGCTCCTTTTATGGAATAGCTCAGAGTCAGAGTCTCTTTATTGTCGTTCCACCACATGTACACAGGGTCCCAGAAGACCAGATTGAACAATAAAATGTAAAAGAAAAACAGTAATGAGATCTCAGATTTGAACTAAGAAAAACATCAACTAAAAATACACTAAGCACTAATAGCATAAAAACAATACGTTGAACAGCAGCACGAACATGAGTCATCTAACCCAACGTGTTTACCAGGTAAACTAAAATAAAAAAATAGCAAAGGAATTCATTAATGCCTACATTTAACCTGATAAAAAATAACTAACACTGAGCTCAAGATCTCTTTTACAAGGATGACTTGGCCAAGAGCACGCATCTTAAAACAAAGTAAAAAAATAAGATAGGATTAAAACATGGCAGCACGGTGGCACAACTGGTAGAGCTGCTGCCTCTCAGCCAGCAGGTTGTCCTGGTTCAAATCCCAGTCCAGGGGCCTTTCTGGGTGGAGTCTGCATGTTCTCTCCGTGCATGCGTGAGTTTTCTCCAGGTACTCCAGTTTCCTCCCACAGACCAAAAACATGCATGTTAGGCTGATTGATAACTAAATTGTCCCTTGGTGAGAGAGAGAGACTGAATGGTTGTCTGTCTCATTTGTCTCTATGTGATGGACTGGAGACCTGTCCAGGGTGTCCCTCGCACAGTGATTGCTGAACATGGGCACCCGTGACCCCCACTATCCAAAATGGAATTAGTGGGTAAAAGATGAAGGATGGATGAATTAAAACGTACACCTATTTTACCCACAAAAAAATGGTTTCCAAGTTACGGTGCAAGAGTGTGGCAAATCGTGGTGAAAGTGATATTATTGAAGCTGCCATCTCTAACGGGTTGGAAACGCCTGTAACCACGCAGGAAACAGCACACAGCATTGTGTTGAGCTTGGCCTGCATGACCACCTCTTACTCAAAAGTGGCCATTTACTGAAAATTGCACACCAGTGTGTGTGACTCCACCCACAACAGGAAGTCAGCAAGAACATCCACAACAATAAAATTCAACAGATATTAAATTAATCTGGGACCTAAAACATGGCAATGGTTAAAAAAAATCCAAGCAATGGGTACAACAAAGGTCATGTGCACTGACTCGTTTTTTCAGAATAGAACAAAATCCTCCAAAAGAATGTATGTAACAGCTCCCAGTGATGATGAGGCATGACAAACCTCAGGGCACTGCGTCAGTATCCAGGGACTGAAGTCATCTGGATGGGGCACTCACTATAGCCAAGTAAAGGAAAAATGTTCCTAAAGGTGAGTAAGACAGGATTTATTTCTATAATAAAACCCAGCGTCAGCTTGAGTTTGTCAACCAAACTGGCATAGTGAGCTTTAAATAATAGCTCACGATCAAGGTGAAAGCAATTAAAGTATTATTAATTTGAAACAGCCTCTATGTGTTTCTTTATGGAGCTCACATTGATAAGATATTCTCTGATAGCCTTCTTTTATTACAAAGTACCATGAACTTGATTTTGTTAGATGAGACTCATCGTTGCCAAAAACTCAAAAAGCCAGAATAAGTTTTAAAAAAAACTAAAAACTTAACACGTTGCACGGGACAGCTGTTTAACTCCCAGTCTGTTATTCAGAAGTCTTTCGAATAATAAGCTAAAACATCACATTCTATCTTGAATCAATTCTTGTTTAAATTTTGTTTAAGACCCAAACCAAAAACTTCAACTTTATGTTTCACTACATCTGCAGCATCCTCACTGCTTTTCCTCCCCCCTCCTGGTATCCTGAGCAGAACTAATAAGCTCAGCATTTCTGAGAGCTTTTCTAAACAAATTACACTTCCTCCTGGGATCAGGCAGGAAGTGAAACTCTATCTGTGAAACAACTCTTACCAAGAGATATTCTCTTACTGATGACCAGAGGAACCACCATGAGAGTCTTCAGACAACAGAGTTCACCTTTTTGCAAACTTTTGTTCAAATATAAAACTTTTTTGTTATTGTTGTTGTTGTTTTAGAACGTTTGAAATTACCGTCTTGCTGATTCCAAACCACAGTTTGGAATTATCCCAGGTAAGGTATCCTGAGATGTGTTAGGATTCAAGGATTCAAGGTTCTTTATGTGTCGTTTGCACCCCATGTGGTACATGTGGTGGAACAAAATTATGTACACAGGGTCCCAGTAACATCCAACAATAAAATGTAAAAGAAAAACAATAATAAGATCTAAGATATGAACTAAGAAAAACACCAACTAAATATACACAAAGCAGTAATAGCAAATGAAAATTTGCATAAATTAAAAATATAAATAATATATAAATTATAATATATAAATAAATATAAATTGTAAATACTTATATTAAAATTTAAAATTTAAATGAAAGTAAATTGGACAGACTTGTCAACAGTTCGATCACTGTTATTTTGACAAATTGGTGCCATGGTTTTGATACGTGACGTACGTTACGTGATTACCCATCAACCATTTCTCTCATAATAAATAATCGAAAATTTATTAATGACCCACCTAAACTGTAAAATTGATTTGCAATTTAGTTGTGCTGTTCAATTATAATTTTGTGTTTTTAATTAAACTACCCATGACTGAAAATTTAGGGGCAGAGATTTTTTTAAGGGTAAAAGCAGAAATAATTACTTGAAGGGGCAGCTCTTATGAGATATTAGGAAGCTTGTTAAGTTTAAAATTAGTGCGGCTGTGGATGAGTGGTTAGAGCAGTTGTCCTCCAATGCAAGAGTTGGGGGTTCGAATCCACCAGCAGTCACATGCCAAAGTGTCCCTGGGCAAGACAATGAACCCCTCATAGCCTCCGATGTGTGTCCCATCAGTGTATGAATGTGATAAAGCACTGATTAGTCCCTTTAGAATGATTTGTTCAATTAGCTTTGTAGAGATCTAGTAGAGTGCTGTATGAATGGGTAAATGAGGTACAGATTGTAGTGTAAAGCGCTTTGAGTATCTTGATAAGACAGAAAGATGCTACTTTGTGTATAAGTACAGTCCATTTACCATTTTACCATTTAATTATTTTCAGATTACATGTTCAATATAGGTTTTATTCATTCACATTCAAGGCAGTCAGATTTGTTCACAACTTTATTATCAGATAGATAGATAGATGGATAGATGGATGGAAGGACGTCCGTCCGTCTGTCTGTCCGTCCATCTATCTATCTATCTGATACAGACAGACAGACGGACGGACGGATGGACGGACAGATAGATATCCTGACGTTGTGGTCTCTCTGTGAGATAGTTTGTAATAGAATGATAGAAAAATTCTATTCTGATTCTATTCTTACAATAGAATTAGTATAATTAGAATTATAATATATATATATATATATATATATAT